CACTGTTTGCTTTCAGAATTCACTTAAGGTTGCGACACCAATATTCGGACTTGTTCATATAGGCAAATTAGGTTATATTAAATTATATTAAATAAATAAATGGAATATTTGCTTGTTAATGAGAATTTCATGCCCTCCGTTTGAGACATTGGGGAGCTAGTGTGTTATTACTGTTGAGCAGGTGGAATAAGTAGTAGAACTGACTGTCAAAGGAAGGAAACACTTTAATTGGCTCGGGGAGAATGATTCGAAAGTGGTCATAAAATTCTTTGGCGAAATGGGCGAAACTGCTTTAATTAAAACAGTTGATCGTATTTTATCGTATTTTGAAATTAAATAATTATTGATTAATAAAGCGGCTGGGTGAATCATTATTCCGAGTGAGATCAACCCTTTAAATTAGCGTGTGCAATTCTCTTTGTAAGCAGGTGCAATTCTTATCATTTATAGACCCGGAGTGAGGGCGATTCGGCCTAATATTTGCCGAAGGGATGATATTTTCCGAGGGGGGCTTTGCCCCGAGGAAATTATCGTCACTGAGGGAAATATCGCCGAATCCCCCGAGCGGAAGGTCTATAATCTATAAATGATATATTTTACCGAAAGTTAATAACTCACTAAGGTCAGAATAACCTTTAAAACTTGCTGAATACAATTTTTAATTTCTTATGTATACCTGCATGAGCTTTTGACGTTTCCTCTTTAAAATATTTGAGCATGTAGCCTTTGGATCGTTAAAGGTAACATACGTCCTGAAAATCTTTGGTTAAATCGAATCTTCTGTACGAAATTACAAACAACAGCTCGCGAACGTCATATTGTTTCAGAGCGTGGTGTCCACGCGTCACGCGTGAGCGTCGGATACTATAATATCCCACGATGAATCTGCCGTGGGATATTATAGTATCTCACGCTGCATTGCGAAATCATGAAATTGAGTGAAATATCGTAAAAAATCACATTATCACGTGGTACAAATGCTGTTTTTCCATTGGACAATTTGAATTTGAGATATAAACTTATTTAATATCTTCTTTTGAACATCTCATTTAATGCAGGTGCATTATTTTGAATCATTTAATGCAGGTGCATATTTTGAATATGCCATTTAATGCAGGTGCAATTCTCTTGTAAATATAATTAGTCTAGGCTAAGTAGATAGACTAGATAGACTAGACTAATTGGTCCAATTTAAAATTTGCATTAAACGACTGCTTGACGACAGATAAATAGCAAACCTAGTTCATTTTTGCAACATTTTGTAAATTTCAAACGCAGTTTTCTTTATTGATTACCCGTTTTACTATATTAATATTTTTAAATAACAAAGAAAGCAAAGTTGTTTGCATGCAAGAATTTGAGAATTATCGATAAAAGCAGTTTAGTTTTATAAAGAACATTTTAAAACGTTTTGCGAAGCGTTTATGGTTGAATTTTACCTTAATTTAAAGCTTATATTATACGTACAATAACATACCTAACATACATATGCTTTAGAAATTGATTGTAATTGAAAGTGATATTTTTGGGGATTTTTCATTTGTATAAGTATTCTTAATAAATTTAATAAAACGCTCTATGGAACGTTAACTCGCTGGAGCTATACAAATACGCACATTACTGTATACTATAGTACAAAAAACAAATGGCTGATTGACGAGTTGTCACCTGACTCCTGTTGCAAAATCTTTCTACCAGTCCTCATAGACGCATATTTAGCAGATACAGTTAGCACACTGTTCTTTGTCATTAATTTGAGCCTACTACTGTCGATCAAGGATGGTGTAATACTTAAGGTTATACTTACACCAACTGCAAACATGATATGCCCTTCTAAAATATGTGTAAAACGAGTTGTGGTTTAATTGGTTCCATGCTGTGCTTTGAGGTGTTTCTCTAGATTATACCATTGTTACGCTAGCTATTCAAGGCATTTTTAATGCCATGGACTGGTGGGGCATTCGCCCACTGGGCTCCTTCCTCTGCCCAACCACTGAAGAAAAAAATGGCCTATTGCTCCCAAGTCAGGGCCCTAGCACCTCCATTGAATAAATTAGTTTAACATTGAAAAGAAGTTTAATTAAAATTATAATTTTTTATGCTCATAGTGTGAAATGTTATTAAAATCATAAAATGAAGTAGAAAAATTATTTTATTACTGACCGGTGTCGCAGGAAATCATGTCCCTACCCTGACAAACTCTCGGGAATTCTCAGGAATAACTATTTTGGTACTTATACTTGCGACATGTCAACGTCGACAATTCACATAAAATTCGAAGATTCATTCGAAGATGCACACTTGTACAAACAAAGGGAATTTGTGAAACAAAAATTCTTGAATTTTCTTCAAAACTTAGGGTTATTTATGGATAATTTGGGTAAAATTGGCAGGAGGCTTATGGATAATCGGGGTAAAAATTTGGCAGCTCATTAATACTCTATTTTGTGGTTATCAAACAGTGAATCAAACAGACCATCGTGTTAATGGGGCTATCGTTGGTGACTCCATGGTAAAACACCTGAATCCCTCCAAGTTGCGCAAAGGCTCAAAACGTAATGTTCAAGTGCAAACCTTTCGTGGAGGCAATGTTGCTGACATGAGTTATTTCGTAAAACCAACAATATCGAAATCTCCTGACTACTTAGTGTTACACGTCGGAACGAACGATTTAAAGCGGCAAACACCTCATGAGCAAATATCCACGTCAATTTACATGCTGTGCCAAGAAATAAAGAAGGAGTCCCCGAAATTGAAGATCGTGATATCGGAAGTTATATTAAGATTTAGATCAGACGATCCAAGCCTGGGTACTAAAGTCAAAGAGTTAAATCACAAACTGTTACAGGTATGCAATAATAACAAATGGGGACTTATAACCCACAATAATACCTTAGTGAACCACCTGAATCCCTACGGCCTTCACCTAAATAAGCAGGGAACTGCCAAATTGGCCAAAAACATTATAGATTATCTAAAAATCTGCAAATAACTGACGAACAGCCAAAATAATATTAATCCCATAGAGGATAATAATACAAATAATATTAATCTAATAGAGAATATTAATCCCACAAAGGATAGTAATACCAATAGCATCAATCCAATAGAGAATATTAATCCCACAGAGAATAATTATCCGATAGAGGATAATAATGAAATTCTCTCCCCAATTCTCTCCCCAATTTGCATGCATCACTTGAAAGTATACTGAAAATTATAAAGAATGGCCTTAATCCTATATTTACAACTCATCTCGTTCCCATGTTATCGAGAATTTTGTATTTTTGTGTTATGACATCACTTATTATGCTGGAGATGGCCGCAAAGAGAAGAAAGTCTAGTATCTCAGACGTGATTTAATAGCGAAATTAATTGAAATTTGGTACATTGAGTCGGTGCACCTCAACAAACATTGTGCAACGTTTATGTTGTTGTCTAAACGACACATTTTTTAGTTACCAGGTCGCTCTGTCTTATTTGTCTAATTCTTTGCTTCCATCAAAACTGAAAAGACTTTTTGTGATTTCCATATATTATCGTTTTTGTATCTCCGAAGCAGATATATATGCACCGTGACCGTAACGTATGCTAGCACATTAGCCATTCAGCGACGAGCTTATATAATTAAGCCAATCAACGATTAGCTTACATTGTGCCCGCATCTAACCTGCGAGCGGGCATGGTTTGGCCTCGTGTTTTAATTACATTCTTTGCAATTTTGGCTTCATAAATTTAATTGCATGACTGTCTTGTTTCCTTTAAATTTATCTCCATTCTAGTTACGATAGTATTCCGAAGTTATCTATCAACATGGAAACGTACCCTCATCTGGTAGGTAGGTCAAATACCACATATTTTATTAATTGGATATTTTAAGCCAAGGTTCACAAAAACATTTACACAGCAAAACAATTATTCTGTAAAATTTTAAATAGTCAGAACATAGCAGGCAATACTGCCAATGAACAATATCAAGGGAAACTAATTATTAACCACTAAATATATTGAATTAAAGACTATTAGAAAAGCATTAGAAACTAAAGATATTGAATTAAATCCTGGTCCTGTATTTCTTTAACTCTGTTAAAAAAGCAGTCCTACTAAGCTGTCATCAACTGTAGTGTTAGAAGCAAAGGTTAAGATGTTATCAGTTAAAATACTTATATATTTTGGTTTTACACGTTAGTGTTAATTAAATAAATAAATTTTTTATAAACATTTTCAAATGCTAATAAAAGAATCCCCAACAGACTCAAGTGTGAACAACAACTGACAGAACGTTTGCTTCATATGATTAGAATATAAAATTATGTATGACATTTTTGTTTCCTGACTGCATAATTATCTGTTAAAATCATAATCACATTATAAAATTAGTTAAATTTTCTCGGCCAGAGGGGGGAGGGGGCAGTTGTCTCTGCTACCATACCCACTGTGTGAGCCCTGTTAGATGTGTATTATGTTTGATTTTAAAATTTTATTTGCGATTATGTCTATTAATAAGTGGTGAAATATTTCAATTTTGCCATGTCATCTTCATCATTCAGTTCCTTTCAAGGATATAGAAAATGTGAATCAAGTTTTTTTCGCAGATATATGTACACGTCGCATACCTATTTTTAGTGCCGTCGTGAATATGAACTATTATATTGTATTAAATATAACTTTCGTTCCAAAGACAAAGTGTCTACAGCTGACATTACGGAAGTAAGAAGGGGGAGACCTGGTAAACTTACGACTTTACCGTGCAAAAATATTTTGAAATCATTGATTGACTATGATTATATCAATGGGTTTCTGTATTTTGTTTCATGACGACCAAAAAACATTAAAAAAAAACTACGTTCGAGCGAAAGCCCTATTTTAATTAAGAAGTAATTGCTGCATAATTAGGTGTGTCGAGAACGCAAATATTGGTCCCCCAGTCCAATATCGGGCCCTTGATTTTGAAAGCGTTATAGTTACAGCAATATTGTTTTTCATAAATACTTTTTAAATTAACTGTTGAATAAGTTAACAGACACTCCGCCTTTCCCAGAGTGTAGCTGGCTTTGGTACCCCGTGACGGGTTTGTCTAGAAAGGTAACATATTTTGAACAAAATACTTTTTAAACTAATCCTATAACTATGATTTTAACCCATACTTTAGCCCGACACTAGTCCTGCACCTAACTTGTACCCCAACTAGGCACTTCTGTTGACCCTAACCCTTACCACATTTTTTCTGAAGACCGCACAACAATTTTGTGTAGCCTAAAAAAATACGCAGTGTAGCCATCGACTTGTAGTCCAGGAACAAATAATACATATTTTTGTGGGCTTGTAGCCCACTGACAAAAACAATGATTTTTCGGGTACGTTCGTAGATTTTCTCAAAACGGTTTCAGCATGTACCTGGAATAATGTACAATAGCATGAAACAGGACCGGGGTTTAATTTTAGTTTACCTGGTGCTAATGAAATTGCAATTAGAAAGTGAGGTTCATCTGGATCCAACTTTTCACGAAATATCGAATCATTCATATGGTCATAATCATCATCATCACCACCACCTGGCTTTACTGCATTTGTCAAACCTATCATTGGTGCTGGTTCGCATCGTGCTGGTGCATCAGTTGTTACACCTGCCACTGGCGTGTTTGGATCACCAGAATCTGTTTCCAGAGTTGCTGTCGGATTGGTTAAGCCTACTGCCGGAAGGATTGAGCCACCAGTAAAGTTTTGACGTACTCCACTGGCTACGATGATGAAGAGTTTTGGCTTCCCAGCCAAAGATGGACATTTAGTTGTTTTAAATGCATCCGTAACCTCCTTAATTTCAAGATACTCGGAATCAGAACCATATATTTTGCCCCTATCACCATGAGTTGTAATGGCCGATACAAAAATGCTCGAATTTTTATTGATTTTATTTGCAGTGTCTTGAGCAACTGTTCGAATTTCATCAGCTTTCAAATCCTCGTATGCTACCACATCGAAGCCAAATTGTTTCCACGCTTGTTTCAAATTTTCAAAGTCTATATGAGAACCTCTTCGTAAATCCAATGTAACCCCTTCTTTAGTTGTGCCATGAAAATGTTGGACATTAATGATTAACGCAGTACCATATGGTGGGTTCATATCGTATCGCGGGGCTGGTTCAAAAGGGCAGCCTGGAAGTGAATCTGTGGCTAAATAAAAATACAAATTGCGGACACTGCAAAAATTGACAAGGATGAAACTTCATTAATTCAATAATTACAAGCAGTGAATAAAGAATAAACAATAGATATCATTATCATAGTATTCAAATATTCTTTTTAAAGGCCCTTTGGCAAAAATCAAATGCTGCGCTGCAATTGTAGTGCAGCACAGCATGCAGCAACCATTCCCTTTTGTAATGAGACAACCGTTGTATATTAGTACTGCAACATTGCTGCCTCATGAAACATGATATATATATTGGAAAATAGATAAGAAAAGCCATTAAAGCGATAATTGAAAAATGATGATTCAAAGGAATTAATTTTAATGACAGTGTAAACAGCATGCATCTAGTGTAATTTACTATAAGATTCACCTGCAACTGAGCCATCCATCAAAGCAAATTTTCTTTACTGATTTGCACCTGTTTTCGTGAATTAAAAAATAAAATTAGATTAAGGAAAACATATCAAGTATCCCATAACTTTGATAATCCTCTGTTCATATAAGTGACTGACTAGCTCGTGCAACTAGGCTTGCAGTTTCTTTAAAGTCTCAAGGCTGGCTTATTTCCAGTTGTTAGTTCATTTCAAAACACTTCCTTTCGAAGATGAAACTTTTTTTGCATCTATATAATTAATTGACTTTTATATGCAATTTTTGAGATTTTCTAAAACGAAAAACCCCTGTAACGGAAAATGAAACAACTACAGTATGCTGTAATTATTGACAATATACTATGTGCCGAGACAGGGCATTTTCAATATCCATGTCTCTAAAATTTTTTAAATAGTAATTCGCGTCATTATTTGCGGTCCACAATTCCAGGTTTGTAACGTAAATGGAGGCTACCGATTGCCTGATAACAGGTCCTTATATATAGCCGCACCCAGTTGCAGCACTGGACGTGAACATTTTAACCTAAAAAGAGGGCTATAAACAGGCTTATCGAGTGAAAATGGGGGCGGGGGGGGGGGGGG